TACAACCAAGAAAGAAAAATACCTTTCATAGCAAACAACGCTTCGAATCTCATTTTGAATCTTCGGCCGCGTGTATCCCTAAGCATCCGCCATCTTGGATTTGCCAGCAAAGGAAAAAGCTTCGCGGGGGATATTTTGAAACTATTTACCAGGCCTTAATACACCTGAGGTCAACCGCAGTTACCTCGAGAGCGTAGGGTTTAAATTGGCCGACACCAAGGGCCGCCCCCCAGTCTGGCTGAAAGACAGACCTACTAAGGACACCACCCTCTGCCTTCTCTTTACGCCTCAAGCCGACGAGTACGATTCTTCCTCCATGAGCTTGACGCTTCTGTCCAACCAATCCAAACCTCGCTTTCCTTCCAACCGACCAGGAAACTTTACGGGCGAACTACCCGCCTCTCAAAGAATGAGTGACCAATGGAGAGTAGGACTGACCAAGGTGACGCTGCCGCCCGTGGCCAGCACGTCCAAGTCCACGCAATGGACCTTTAGACTGGACGCCGGAGGGTACCTCAAGAGCAAGCTGCCTCCTGGGTCGCAGCACACGTTTACCCTAAGCGACGTCAACAGCGTGCAAGACTTGTGTGCTCAATTCAAGAGAGGCGTGGATGCCGTGTTCGACAGTTGGTTTCCGCAAACGCAAGCAAAGCCAGCCAATGGAGGCATCGGAGGCGCGTTCAAGGGGCTCGGCGTAGGAGGAATGCCAAGCGCGGCTCACGTCGCCACGTGGATAGACGATTCCTCAGGCAAGGATGTGCTCATCAATATGAACCTCGCAGGAAGAAAGAGCTTGGATGACCTTTACGATCAATTTCTTACCAATGGGATCAAAATAAATGCTGACAAGTCTAAAACTAAATGGGACTTTACGAGCAATTACAGCGTGTTGGTAGGACACAATGCACCAACGATGAATATGGCCATGATGAGGTTAGGCCTAGGCAACGACAGCGCCATGGACGCGCCGATATCTGGAACGATGCAAGATGACGGTACGACTCAGTGGCATTCCTTCGTCACGCCCTTCAAACTCGATAACACTGCAGAGTATTCTTTCGTATATCTCATACAATCCAGCCTCGAAGTGAGTACGTCAAATCGCTTTTACTTAAAAATGGGATTCTACGAACGTCTGGGACCCATGCTAGATACYGCAAATCCTATCGGACCAGGAGAAAACGTTACTCCCAGCGAATTGTACCTGACCATGCCCAAGGGGTTCTACGACTTGCTGAACTTTAACAATGGATCGAGTGCTGGACTGGAGTACGAAAGTGTGGATGCCGCCGTCATGGGTCCAGGCGAATTCGTGAGAATCACGTGCAAGGAAGGATGGAGACCTTCAGGCCATATCGAGTCCGATCAGAAGACCAATACGGAGCCGCAATCCAATCGCGTGGCTCGTATCAAGGGGTATCAGTATACCCAGCTTCGAGGCAACCAGGACGTCCTCAATTCTCAGAGTGGTCCCTACGCTATAGACGTGGTCACCAACACCAAGGCCGTACCCAAGAATGCGTACGTGACCTGCAGTCTGGTCCACAATCAACACGTGGGCGATCAGAACATCCCTCTCATGGACGTGGTTCCCCTCTCGTCCGTGTCCATGGGGGCCGCAGCCGAACCCAAGGAATACGTGTTCGAACCCCAACACGTTAAATACTACCCCCTCTCCAAGAATACTTACCAGACCGTGGCCTTTGCCGTGCAAGACGAAGCAGGACAAGAGCTTCCCTTYCTCAATTCAGGAGTGACCACCGTATCGTTGGATTTCAAGAAAGGAGTATGAACATCCCCATTTACGTCCCCCAAGAAGGAGGCGGCAGCATTCCCGTCTATRCCCCTCGACAAGCCGGTGGAGGACTGAGCATCGGACGGTTGGGGCGTGGGGCCATGCAATACGTCCTACCCAAGATTAATGCTGTAAAAGACGCTGCCGTGGACCGTGGAGGCAAAGCGTTGGCTAACGTGGCCTCGGAGGTATTGGAAGGCAAAGATTTGAAAGAAGCCCTCAAAGACGAAGCGACCGAAGCTCGAGTCGACTTGAAACGAAAGATAGACGCCGAAGCCAGCAAAGTGGGAAGCGTCAAGAAAAGCATCAAGAGTTCTGGATCCAAGTACGCCAAGTCTACCCTAAACGCATTGTTCGACTAGAAAAACATGAATCAACCCCGACTGATCACCGAGAATGGCGTATTCAAGCGCATCAGCGAAGAGCGGTATACCAAGTACATTACGTACCGTATGACCCACGGACCCCAACAAGGCATACGGACTAAAGAAAGAGACATTGTTAAAGCTTACGATATTTTTGTCAAGTTGTACGATGGACGCATCGCTATGGATGTAGATTAAAGAGAAAGAAGTAAAGACGACACAGTGTTCGTTTCATTGAGTATTTCTTTATTATTTCACGACTAGGGGAGTATGACTTGGGGGAAGGGYTTGTTGGAATCTTTCAAGTCTTCGGGAAAGGGGTCCAACGACAGTCGGTACTCGTCGGGCGTGGATTGATCAAAGTCCATGATGAGCGGGCGGAACGGTCGCTTGCTGGCTTCCTCCAAAGCACGGTTCAACCACCTGGCTTGACCCGGAAACGCTTGACGCGCCAAAGCTTGCAGCTGAGACTTGTCTCGAGGATTGCGAAACAGCACGATG